TGAACAGAAAATCTGGGAAACCACTGAGTTACAAGATATTACAGTACAGGTTCTCTTATGTCTTGAGTCCTCACTGAACTTGAAAGGCTATGGCCAAAATGTTGGCTATCCTCATAGCCCTTCTTTTTCTCTAAATTTTTGGTCTGAAAATTTAAGTTGTTAACACATCAGAAGAGGAGCTTAATGATATTATTGCCCTATAACACAGGCAGTTGAGCTTAACATCACTGTCAGAATATCAAATGCCTTACACATAACATGAAATTGGTATTTTCCAACAACCATGGATAAGAAATCTTAATTTTTTTCGTCTTTTTTGTTTTAATTTATTTTAAAGAGTGTAATAATTATAGCAGCACAATTTGTTGTAGTGTATAAATATCATATTGTCTCCCTAGTGTAAGAACCTGAAAGAATAAATAAAACCTGAAAGGTATAATAGACATAGAAAGAAACTGAATTTAAGGACTGAATAATGATGATTAGAAAAAGGAGAAAAATAAGAAAAAAAAGGAAGGAGGGGAACACTTTCAAATATATATATACCGGATGGTTGAGATGATTGTACTCATACTTTCCATCAGTTTTTTGGAAATAGCAGTTAATGTTTAATGATTTTTCACCTTGACTACCTCTGTATGCTGGTATCTGTGATCTGAGCAACTACATGGAGAATAGCAATGTGTAATACAAGCCCATGGCTGAATGACTCTCATCTTGGTATTCTAAATGTGTATGGTTTCTAATGTCTTATCAAAGATCCTTAAATTTGCATTATTTTCCTGCAAAAACTTTTAGTTACTATTTCCTCATCTTTTTAAGTTCCTGTTGCCACCAGTCATTGTTAACAATGAACCTGCACTAGTCAGATTTGCTTTAAGATTTTGAATTAATATTGCATCGTGAATTCTTAATCAGAAAAGCAAACAATCACAGCAAGCCCTACTCAATTTTCAGTCAGGCTGACTCTCAAATGACTTTATGTAGACATTCATGGATACCATTATTTAGCCCTCTCCTGCAATATTTACTGTGATCTCAAACTCACCTTCGTACACCTTTAGGAAGAAGTTCTCAGTGCAGAGTGCAAATTCTTCTCTAAATGGCTGAGTTGAAGACTGATGCTCTCTCCCCCCCCCAAAAAAAAAATGTAGCCAAAAAAAGTATGACTTCTCTACATAAACATGAGACTTCAAAAATAAATCACTATGTCTTTTACAACTCAGATCTCTTCACTCTGAGGAACATCAAAAGGGTGATTGCAGCTGCCTATAACATTTCAATGGGCACTTTAATCACTTCTTGCATCATCCTCTGAATTCCATTATTTCCCTGTGGGAACTGGCCTGAAAGGATGAGACATTATTCCTACTGATTCTATGTTCCCATGTCACTGGCTTGTGACTCAGTAAAACTACTTTTGTTCTTCACTGTTAACTCATATGTCTTTCATAGCAATAATCTAGTGCATTATACCTCCTTAGGCGTAGCATATTCTTCTAAGTCTAATATTGAGGAATTTATTTCAATTACATGTCCTAGGTCTCCAAAGCATTGACTTGTAGTATGTAAAAAAGCACCTGCTATATTTTAAAAAGGCACTTGAAACCTCCAGAAAATAACTATCCCTCTTACAGTAAAGGAAAAGATAGTATTCCTTTGGTGTTGAACCTTATCCACTCTTTGGTATTAAGCCTTATACACTGTGCTTCTTGCCTTCTTTTTTCCCATCACTAGCAGAATTTCACAGCTATGACACAAATTAACAACTCATGTTGATTTTAATTTTGAAACGTTTGTTAATTAGGACAGATATCTTTTGATCTTTTTATGCCCTATTTCTTATCGCACAACCTGATACACATTTTGTGACTCTAATATTTAGAATTTCTATTCTATGATAAATATATATGTAGATATAGATATATATATATTATGAATTCCATTCCTGATTGTAGAAATGAGGCTAAAAAATGTAAATGAAATAAGTATGGGGCCTTGACTTGAATTCCAGAATAATACCTTCAGTTATCAAATTCTTTTTTTTTCAAAGTTTTATTGATAAACAGATAGCAATGAGACAGTTTCAAATCAAATCGGAAGTACAGTTTCAACAAATAATACACTGCATATATTCTTCTTAGTGGTTAATTGATGTACAAGATGCGGACTTGTGATCCTATTTACAAACACCATTAGAACAAATCATTCTATTCATTAAGAGAATACAACTATATATCTATCCCAACCACTTTGAATACACAGATACAAAATGGACATTCATCGGTATACCCCATTTTTTCTAAGTTCCGTTATTGAATATTATAGGTGTGTAAACTCAGCAAAATATTCTAAAAGAGTCCAGTAGCCCATAATAGCATTGGGTCTTCTGTTTAACTGGCAATGTCAGAAATTATTGACCTGAGTCCCCCAGAGCTCAACTTAATAGCATGGCTTTATTTCTTATATTTCATCTTCATACTTTTCTACTGGATGGTTAAGACCAAGGTAAAGCAGGACCTATGCAACAAGACTTGTAGCTTTTTGGTCTGAGAAGGTCAGTGAAATGCCCTCAGGATTTGTCCTGAGATCCTGTACCTCAGATTGTAGAACCTTTGTCAGTGCAGCCATGTGGATGAGTCACGGCCATTGCTTGGCCAATGTGCTCTCTGTGAAAGCCTGAGAGAATGATTTCCCCCCATGTGACTCTCCTTAGGCCCACTCTATGTCATCGATCACTTTCCTCTTTGGCCCCATAATCTTCTTGATCAGAAAATTTGGGACACTACCGAGGTACATGATGTTACAGTACAAGTTCTCATATGTCCTGAGTCTTAATTGACCTTAGAAGGCTAGGGCCAAAATGTTGGCTTTCCTTGTAGCCCTCCTTTTTCTCTAATTTTGGCCTGCAAACTTAGGTTGTTAACCATCCAGAAGAAAAGCTTATTGTTATTATCAAATGATTGGCTATCAATCTTTTTTTTTTTTAGTATTGGGTCTTCCGTTTATTTTTTTATTTTTTTTCAACAAATAATACACTGCATATATTCTTCTTAGTGGTTAATTGCTGTACAAGAAGTGGACTTGTGATCCTATTTACAAACACCATTAGAACAAATCATTCTATTCATTAAGAGAATTCAGTTATCAAATTCTGAGATAATAGTTCTCTTTTCCCATGGCAAAATACCTAAAGAAAGTGTGCTAAATATCTATTAAGTATAGGATATCTCCTAACATAAATCTTGACCCAAATTTTAACATTGAGAAGGTGTGAAAATCTACTCTATATCAACTTTATAATACATTAGAAATTATCAAAAATTCAACATCAAATACAAATTCTGATGTGACCTCTTCTATGGATCCAAAGCATCTGCACTTCTGACAACATCCATATTGATGTTGATACTACAAACCCAGGCCTGGGCACCACAGTTTGAGTAACAAGGCTGTAATCCTGTGTGAGAATCGGATGAAGAGGCTTGAGGCTTTTCTCTGTGGTAGAGCTTGTACTTAGCATGCAAAAAGCCCAGGCTTAAATTCTGAGGAACAAAAACAACAATATCATATGTAGATAATTTATATCTTCTCCACAAGTAATCAATATTGCATGTAATTCTGAAAGAAATATATCCATTTTTAAGGACTTTATAAATTTTGCATCAGTCGCTCTACACAATGACTCTAGAGTGAGATCAACCAATATACTTCTTTTTAACCAATATACTTTTAAAAAGAGGCCAAGAAAAATAAAACCTCCAAATTATGTTCATATCTCAGCATCCAGAACTTCTAAACACATGGTAAAGGAAGGTGAAAAGAGAAGGTGATATCAGATTGTTAGCTGAGTAGGATAAGTAGCCTGAATTTTCTTGCTAGTGCTACTGAAATCATAAGAATCTTACAAATGTGGATGAAGGAAACAGAAGAACTGGAGGCAGAGAAAATTTTAAATGCTATAATACTAAGTGCTGTGTGTGTGTGTTGTTATGTATGTTTTCTAAATTGCTTATCAAAATGTTTTTGTAAACTTAAAGCCCTAATAAAAAGGTGGAAATATTAATTACCTTACTTGACCAGTATACTTTGTGTATGTGTATTGACTCTCACTGCACTATAAATATGTAATTTATTGTGGGTCAATGAAAACATTTTGTTTTTAAATAGGTGGAAATGCCAAGTGTCTTGATCACTATACACTGTATATAGGTATATAGCTATCACTATGAACACCATAAATATGTACAATTAATTTTTTTTAATTTTGAGATTTTTTTCATTTGAAAGTAATCTTAATGCTATTAAATTCAAAAATATGCTAATTTAAATACCCAATCCTATTTTATCTAAAACACACATTGCAAACATACAAATGTCTATTCTCTCCACATGTCAGTGCCCATTTGTATCATGGTTTGAAAAGGAAGAATAGATTTTTTTCCCCTTAATCTGTAAGTCAGTAGGTGTTTCTTTACAGTTAACTTTAGCAAAATTCATACAAAATAGTAATTAACAATGATCTTTTTACTTGTTGACTCACAAGGAAACACCTTCAAAACTGCATTTCATTAAAATTTCTGTACTAAAGTGTAGAAAAACTGAACCACACAAATATTGAAAAATTAAAAATTCCTTAATTTTTTATTCCTGGTACCACTACCACAATTTACAGGGCAATATACCAGATGCAATGAAAAGAAAGAAAAAGACAAAGCTACAACAGATAAAAGACCTCAGGAATGTACATCTAATTGACACTACATTGCATTAATCAATAGCTGCACTTTTTGCAATCTGTGGCTATGACAGTCCTGAACCAGAAGGGTTTCCTGTTTAAGCTGCAGTAACTTTTCTGACTATGGATCATCGTTCCTTCTGTGGCAGATTTTTACAGTTCCTCTAATGCATTTGGGACAACTATCTCAAAGTAACCTGCAGCTTTCCTGACAACTCCTCACTCTCTCCTGCTAAGAACTGTAGCCCTTTTCTGTTGTTTTTTAAAACCTTCTGCTACCATATCCACCACTTCCACCACCAGATCCATAACCACCACCATAAGGACTGCCAGAGCTTCTTCCACCAAAACTGCCCCCCTTCATGGGTCCATAATTTGATTGTTGCTGTCCACTGTAATTTCCAAAATCATTATAATTCCCACCACCAACATAGTTACCACCACCAAAATTTCCTCCTTTGTTGTAACCATCGTATCCTCCTCCACCACCACCACCGTATCCACCACCTTGGTTTCCATATCCTGCCACCACCACTGTCTTAGTTACTTTTTACTTGTTGCTGGGACAAATACCAGACACTCAAAATGAAGTAAGGAAAGGTTTATTAAGCTCACAGTTACTGGAGGGTTCAGTCCATATTCCGCTGGCTGCAAGGCAAACAACAGTAGTTCATGCGGCAGAAAACAATGAAGAGCAGAGGAGGAGCAGCAGCTGCAGCAGCATCCATCAAGCCTCTCTCTTCCTTTTGCACTGACTGTGTAGACCAGCGCTCCACAGTGAAGATCGGAGCTCCTCCACAGTGGCTCCGCTGTGAAGGTCAAGCTCCTCCGAAGTGGGGCAGTGGCTGCAAAGATCAAGCTCCCTGAAGACTGAGACTTCTCCACGGAAGCAGGGCTGGGCAGCAGGAAACCAGGCAGGGCGGTTTCCTGCCTTTCTCAATTCCTGGGCCCTGCCCACCTGAAGGGTGAGGCCCCTATGCTGCCGAAGCTGATTCAGCCAAGTTGACACAATGTATCAACTAACACAACCACCATACCCTCCTCTACTACTGTAACCAGAACCACCACCATAGTTTCCACCATCACCTCCAAATCCATTATATCCACCATCACCTCCTCCATAACTACCTCTGCTGCCACCTCCTTCACCACCGTAACCTCCTTTTCCACCAAAGTTTCCACCACGGCCAAAATTCCCTCCACCACCTCCAAAGTTTCCTCCACGACCCATAAAGTTGCCAGATCCACTTCCACGGCCTCTTTGTGATCCAGCAGACTGCATCTCTTGTTTAGAAAGGGCCTTTTTCACGTCACAATTATGCCCATTAATAGTGTGGTATTTCTGAACAACAATTTTATCAACTGTGTCATGATCATCAAAAGTTACAAAAGCAAATCCTTTCTTTTTCCCACTTTGCCTGTCTTCCATAACTTCTATGGTTTTAATCTTGCCATATTTTTCAAAGTAATCTCTCAAATTATATTCTTCTGTATCTTCTTTAATACCACCAAAAAAAAATTTCTTCACTGTTACAGGGGCACCAGGCTTTACTGAATCCTCTCTAGAAACAGTTCTCTTTAGTTCCACTACACGCGCATCAACTTTGTGTGGTCGAGCACACATTGCTGCATCCACCTCTTCAGCACAAGAGAAAGTCACAAAACCAAAGCCTCTGGAGCGTTTTGTTTGAGGATCTCTCATTACCACACAATCTGTGAGTATGCCCCATTTTTCAGAATGTTCTCTTAAACTATCGTCGGTAGTTTCAAAACTCAGACCACCAATAAACAGCTTCCTCAACTGCTCTGGCTCCTTTGGATCATTGCCCTCCTCTCCCCGGCAGTGACAGCGACTGCCCGAGTCAGGCTGGGAACGACTGGGCCGCGGTTTTACCTCCATTTTGAGACCAGACTCGCCTCTTCCAACTCGAGTTCAATATGGACCAATAAATAAAATATTTTATTTTTTTTAAATATTTATTTATTTTTATTTATTACATTTATTTATTGTGCGTGTGTGTGGCCAGCTCAGCCCACCAGGGGGCGGGGCTGGCTGGCATGTGGTGCTGGGGATCGAACCGCGGTCCCTGTGCTTTGCCAAGCTTGTTTCAAGTAGGTGCTTTAGACCACTGAGCCATCTCTCCAGCCCAAATAAAATATTTTAAAAAATGAAATAAGTGAAATTTTTTAAAGCTAGAAAAGGTTTGTACCCACCAAAAAAGAAAGAAAATGAAAAAGGGATAGCAAGTTTACAAATTGCCAGCACATATAAATAACTAAAGGATGAAAAAAGAAAATGTTTATTGTCAATTATTTTACTGTTACACAATATAAAGTCATATTAAATTGCCATAATGCAGCACATAAACTTGTCCAAATAGTTTCAATTTTTGAAAAGGAAAAACTTCATGATTTAAATATTGTAACTTTAGTGTTGATGAACCAAATAGATTAATTCTAACAGTTTCTACAGTGAGTGAATATAAATTTCTTTAAAGTTACTTCCAAGGGCCAGCCAAATAGCTCGGCAGATTAAAGCACCTGCAAGCAGGCAAAGGGGTTAGAAGTTCGATCCCCAGGCCTGCCATGCCAGCCCTGCCCCGAGGATGCACTGAGACACCAATTGAGACAGGGCATGGTGGCACAAGCCTGTAATTCCAGCTCTTAGGAGGCTCTAAACAGGCAAATCACTATGTGTCCGATCTAGTAGTGAGACCTTGAATGCCCTCTATACCCTGCCCTAAAATACAAATAATAATAATAATAATAATAATAATAATAATAGTAACAATAATAATTTAAATAAAAAGTAAATAAATAAAATAAAGTTACTTCCAAAGAACCTTAATGTGAATTATTTTTATTCAGCTACATGGCTTTCTGGATTTATTTGAATTATTCTGTGTAAGGGCATTAGACAGAGGTACGTCTGATGGGCAAGCAGAGATAAAGGACTTTTGGAACCACAACCTCAGGCTTCCCAGAACTCATAGTTAGAGATTAAAAACTAGCCTAGAAGGCCACAATTCTAAGTAAGAACAAAATGAATTGCCTTAAGGAATGAATAATCTGGCTTTTGTCATCTCCATACTCTAATTCATTGTGTAGTTTGATCCTGAGGTCAGTCATCTAAAAGACCACCATGAACTTCCTTAGTCCTTCACTTGTCCCCTACATGAATTCTGCTGAGGGTCCCTTCTTTTTTTCTTTTATGCTTGCTCCTGGTTGTATCAATTGAAGGCCACAGAGGTTTCAATCTAGTGTTGTCGTTTCAGATTTTCTCACACTGAGGGGCCTCAATTAAGGGCAGCTATTCTGGACCTCTTGAAGTATGGATTGAACATTGACTCCAAGTAATGTTTGAGTAAGCTCTCATACTTTTGTGGTGTTCCATGGTCATAAACTGTAAGTAATCTGGTTTTCATAAGTCATCAAAATGTAAAAATAATTATAACTATAGGTAAAAGGACTTAAGACAAATTATCAGACTCCATTCATAAAGGGGGCTAAAAGTCAGTTGGATAAAGTTGCTATCCCTTAAAAATAGTTTCTAAAATTTTTCATACCAGTAAACTCTTAGTGTTCATGTTGTGATTATGTATGTTCTAATTTTACAGAAAATTTGTTCTTGCCTAGAGGATGTCATGCCCCAAGTAATCATACAAAGAAAACCTATAACAAATATGTGATAGGTATGAGCCCAAGTATGAATTGCTTAATTATTATGGTTGTCATCTAACATGGCTGAAGCCAAAAAAACAACAGCTTATCTTCCCAGTGACCACTTCTTCCTTTATCCCCACCATCAGTCCTGAATACAAATTCCTTTTACCTTCCCCACCAGAAGAGAGCCCCAATCAGCTCTTTATGGGTCACTGAGCCTGCCACTCAAACTCTGCCCCTAGCAAAAACTCATAAAATCCCAGGTCCTCTTTGTCTCAGGTCAGAGGACCTGTGCCATCTCCTTGCCATCCTCTCACCATTCTCTCCATGTCCTCAATAAAGCTCTTTCTCTTACTTCTGCTTCTCTACTGTGCTGAAAATAACTGACAGTATGACAGATTACATTTAGATTCCTTTTGCGGAGATCCAACAGATTTTTTCAAAAGAATACAAAATTGTGACAGAAAAAAACAGAATTAGAACTAATACAAGATTTCACTAAACATTACCAGATATAAACTTGCAAGATTCACTTAACAAAAAAAAGAAGTTATAAGAAATTCAAAAGAGAAAAAATAAGCATTAATTATTCCTTTCAAATAACCAGCAAAAATGGACAAAACAATTATCCAAACTATTCTGCATATATATCCAAATATATCTTTTCCCCTTCTTTCATTTGTCTTTTTCCTTCTCCTAGTTTTTCCTTTCCACTGAAAAAATTCTTTCCCTTTTACAGTATTTGTTGTACCTTTTAGATTTTAGTTATTCTTTCAGATTCTCACACTAGTAAGATAATACAATGTTTGCACGTGTGGATCTAATTTATTTCACTTAACAATATAGACACTATCTGCATCCATTTATTTTAAAAAGCCTTGAATTTATCCTTTTTATAGCTGAATAGTACTCCATTGTGTAAAAATACCATATCTTTTTTTATCCATTCCTTAGTTGATAGACCTTTGGGTTGTTTCCTAGATTTATCTATAATAAGTTGTGCTGCTATAAACATGGGTGCACATATATCGTTGTTGTATGATGATTTCAGTTCTTTTGGAAAAATACCTGAGAGGGAATAGCTGGCTTGAATGAGACTTCCAATGCTAACTTTTTGAGGAATCTTCATATTGATTTCCATAATGATTGTACCAGCCTGCACTCACAACAACAGTTGAGATACAACAGATCTTGTCTAGAAAAAAGGTTCATAACACATATCAAGGTCTTAACTAAGCATCCTCAGTGGGTGTTTAGTGACACCACCGCTGATCTCTTTCTCCTAAATGATACAATATAATTAATAAAACTGACCATCCCCCAAAATCAGATGACATTAGACATTCAAGCAGCAACACAGGAGATACTTAAGAAATTATAAAAACTAAGTGTATAGACATTCCTAACCCTTCTGCTAATATCTCAATAGCTGTTCAAGATATTAGATGACAGATCAGTGACATGTAAGACTCAGAATTTGCCTAACACGTACTGTTTTCCTCTTTATGGGAAGACATTAATAAATCATGTATTAATTGAAAAAATAGTATTGAGACAGTTTGAAAACAATTTAGTAGGACAGTTACAATAAATAGTACCTTGCATATTGTTGTCTTCATAGTAGTTATTCACAGTACAAGATGCAGATATGATATCTTGCCTAAACACTATTAGTACAAATCTTTCTGCTCATTCAACTAATAGAAAGTAGCTGTAAGCCACAGCTTGCAAGGATTTATGGACTTTGGTCTTGGGAAACTTGACGACAGTGAAATGCCACTTGCCACAGAAGCTGTTTTGTTAATGGGAGTAGGTATTTTTAGTCATTGGAGAATGCCCCTTGGTTACTTTTTTGTAAACAGAGCATCTGGATACTTGCAAACTCAACTGCTTCGTCTCGCTATCGGCAGACTGAGTGACATTGGGTCACTGTCCTGGCTGTTACATCTGATGCTACAGCTCACAGCGTCCAAATGGCAAAAGCCTTGGGGATACATATGGACGGAGACAATATCAAGTGCACTTTCCAACATCCTTCATCTTCTAGCCAACAGATTGCATACTTCTTTGATTCTTGCCATTTGCTGGAGTTAATAAGAAATGCATTTCAGAGTTTTCAAAGCATTCAGTTCGTAAATGACACAGCACATTGGCAGCACCTTGTAGAGTTGGTAGTCCTTGGTGAACAGGAATTATCAAGTATGGAAGGAATCCCAAGTAAACTTGCAAATTTCAAAAATCATGTACTGAAAATGAATTGTGCTGCTCAACTCTTTAGTGAGAGTGTAGCCAAAGCGTTAGAATATTTGCTGTCATTAGGTCTGCCTCCTTTTCAAAACTGTATTGGTACTATTCATTTTTTACGCTTAATTAGCAATCTGTTTGACATTTTTAATAGTAGGAACTGTTATGGAAAGGGATTTAAAAGACCTCTATTACCTGAAACTTTTAGTGAAATAAATCATGTATTAATTGAAAGAAAAAAAAGAAAAGAAAGTAGCTGTATATCTATCCTATTCTGCATATAAAGATATATTTTTTCACTACAAAATAATCTTTCATTTATGCCCTCCTTTTTTGTTTACTTTTGTCAGAGATGGGCATTCCATTGCCATTCAACCATTGTAGGTGCCTGAATTCACCAAAGTAATCGAATATATTCCAGTAGTCCATAATAAAAGTGTGTTAAAATTTAAAAAATAGGTTAATTATATAAAAAAATTAGCAAAAATGTGGCAGAACTTAACCAAATCTCTGAACAAATGGATTTAATGGATGTATATAGAGTGTTCACACAACCACATCTGAATATACATTCTTTGCACATAGGACATTCTCTAAAACAGACCACATACTTGTCAATAAATCATACTTAAGTAAATGCAAGAAAACAGAAATTATTTTATGGGTATTATCTGACCACAATGCAATGAAACTAGAAATTAATGACAAAAGAAACCATAAAAAACCCTTAAATGCATGAAAATTAAATAAGATCCTACTCAGCAACCAATGAGTTGCAAATGAAATTAATCAATATCTACAGCCCAAAGAAAATGCAAACACAACTTACCAGAATATGTAGAATGCAATGAAAGCTGCAAATTATACTACAAAGCTACTATGATAAAATCCACATGGTATTGGGGGAAAAAAACAGACCCAATGATTAGTGGAATAGTTTAGAAGATGAAAATATAATTACAATGTAATTGTAATTTCAGCCAATTTATCTTT